TTAACTAGGTATCTTTCTTAGGCTGTGGTAATTTGGGACAAAATTTTTGGTCATAATTTTCATCTTCTCTGTCAAATTTTTCGGTGGGAATTATTAGTCATTTTTCTGTTTTCATTTTTTCTTCTGAACTGAATTTTCTTGTACCTTTATATAAATCTTGTTTTGGTACAAAAACTATTTCATTATGGAAAAGTTCAACCATATGCCGAAGTAGAGAGAAGGGGTCAGTGAATTCCCACGTACCCATCATCCAGCCTTAAGAACCATCAACTTACAGCCATGTAATTCCATCTCAGCCCTACCTGTTTGTCTACTCCTGTAGTATAATTATATATAGTAAAATATTCATAATGTAAAATTTACCATTTTGCCCATTTTAAGTGTACAGTTCTGTGGCATTAAATACTTTCACATTGTTGTGTAACCGTCACTACCATCCATCTCTAGAAATTTTTAATCTCCCCAAACTAAAACTTGCTACCCATTTAAATAATAACTCTCCATTCCCCACTCTTCTCAGTCTGGCAACCACCAGTAGAATGTGCTTTCTATCTTTGTGAATTTGACCACTCTGGGCACCTCAGATAAATGGAATCGTACAGTATTTGCCCTGCTGTGACTTGCTTATTTCACTTAGCATGATGCCGTCAGGGTTCAAGCATGTTATAGCACGTGTCAGAACTTTTCTGAATAATCTCCCATGGTATGAATATGCCACATTTTGTTTATCCATTAATTCATCAAGGAACAGTCAGGTGACTTTCACCTTTTAGCTCTTGGGAATAACGCTTCTGTGAGCATGGGTGTAAACGTATCTGAGTGCCCGCTTTTAATTCTTTAGGGTCTATACCCAGAAGTGGAATTACTGGATCATACGGCAATTCCATGTTTAATTTTTTTGAGGCACTGTCATGCAGTTTTCCACAGTAGCTGCACCATTTAATCTTCTTACCAGCAGTGCAGAGGGGTTTCAATTTCTCCACACCCATTCTAATGTTTGTTACTTTCTGTGGCTGCTAATGGCTCAGACCCTTCAGGAGAGAAAATTTGGGTGAACCCATCATGCAAAGAACCATGACCAGCCTTCCTGCTTACTGAGGGCAGAGGAATAGGCAGTTGAAGAAGGTGGTTGCAAATACAACTATGTAACCAGGAGCAGAAATAAGGACTGTAATAGCTATTTGCATTGCCTTCTTAGAAAAAAAAAGTGACAACGAATGTATGTATGTTCATGTATAACTGGAAAATTGTGCTCTACACTGGAATTTGACACAACATTGTAAAATGACTAAAACTCAATTAAAAAAATGTTTAAAAAGATAAAATAAATCTGCCTAGATTGAATTTTATAAAATGACTGGAGGTTGTAAAACTTTCTAGATGTCTTTGTGGAATGCGACACTATCAGGTATCTTTTGGAATCCCTCTTACATTTGCCTGCGTCTAGAATATGCCTGGATATACTGATCCATCTTGTGAAGTAAAGCTTGATGTCCAACTTCCTTTTCTTACCAAAGTGCCCCCCAATTGCCTCCACTTTTAGACCCTCTGCGGCCCACTGTTCACTGAAATAAAGCAGAATTTCAGTCCCTCTTTCAGGCCTGCTGAATCAGCACCTGCATTTTGCTGCGATTCTCATACACACAATTAGAGTTTGAGAAACACTGATTTAGCCCCTGACACAGCCCGCACTTGACCTTGAACAACAGAGGTGAGGAAGCCAGACCAGCAGTAACAGATGTGTCAGGGGCAGGATCTGTACCAAGGTCCTGGGCCCACTGCTGCCCTTTCGCTTAACCCGAGCCCTGCCTGCAAAGGAAGTCAGCCACTAAAATAGGCGCATGTGGGAGACAGGAGGACACAGGGACCTCTGCAAGGGTGAAGAAGGGTGGCACAGGAAAGGAAGGAAAGCGGTTCCTGGACTCCAAAACCACAGCGTGTCTAGGTGCTACTTTTCCCCTTATTTAGCCCATAGCTTTGCCACTGACACAACCCTTTGCTGACCTCTTTTCCTTTTGCATTTTTCCCCGTATTAAAATGTCACCATCTAAAACTTGTCTGTATGAAAACTAGAAACTTTACGTTGTCAGGGACTGAATGTGCCTGTTTTCCAACAGTTTCTGGCAGTTCCTGGCTTTTATGGTGTAGTCATGGTGAAACCTGAGTCATCTAAAGATGGTGACAGTGCCAAGGAGCTGCGCACAAGCCAGACTGCAGGAGCTGGCGCTCAGCCACTGCTGGGCACCCTGGGCCACTGGCCCCCCTGGGGACAGGAGAGCCACCCTAGTTCTAACAGTGTTGGTACAAACAGCTCCAAGCCTTGCAGTGCTGATGAATGCTTCCTGCAGCAGATGGGCTTAGAGACAGCCCC